ACTCTTGAGGATCGTATCCTGATTTCGGATATGGGGTTGCTGTGGGATCTGATACGTGGCCACCTTGATTGCCCTGAGCTGCTTGCGGGCCTCTCGCTATCTGTGCCTAATTATCGTACTCGTCACACTTCACTTTTTCATGTACCATTGCACCGTACAAAATATGGGAACCATTCTATCCTAACGCGCGTGTCACACTTATACAATTCAAAATTTAAAGGCATAGATATATTTTTTGGATAAAACAGAAATTTAAAAATGATTTGAGGTTGACACTTTACCCCCCCGTCCCCCGTCCCCAAATAAATATATAACAAATACCCTTGTTATTTTTAAATATATATACATATACATATTTATTGTTTATTTTATGCATGTTTTTATTCATTTAGTTGATTGCAGATACATGAATGTTTTTTAGACTCGTACCCAATTAGTGATTTTTCTCGGGTAATATCAAGTTTTCATTCCTTTCGCCCGCTTTGTTTCATTACCTAAGATTGAAGACTATTTCATCAATGTCTTTTTTTTCTTTATATGTTTTCTTTTTGGTAAATAAGGTTTACTTATGTTATTCAGCTGTGTACATTTTTGCTGGCCTTTGGCTGTTTAATGTACCTTTACAAATAAAATAAAATAAAATAAAATAATGCTTGGTTGGATCAATAGGCACCATGGCTAGTATATTCCAAGCGACTAAAAGGCGCTCTTTGTAAGCATTGTGTTTTGTTCCCTCCGCCCATCAGCACTGTGAGAGGAATTTTGGGGTCATTTATGGTCAGGCCATTATATAAAGTTCAAAATTATGCATGAAGACTGCCGAAAGCATGCAACGACCAACCTTCACCTAACAGCGACAAATGCTGCAAAATAAATCCTTGAAAATGTTCCTGTAGACATCCAACTGCAAAGTGGACACCAAAAAGCAATCGATGAAAACAGACAAATATTGTCATCAATTATTTCTTGTGTAGTATTTTGCGGTACACATGATATGCCTCTTAGGGGAAAACAAGCAGATGAGGGCGTTTTATTAGATTTATTAAAATTGAGAATCAATTCAAGGGACGACAAATTAAAGAGTCACCTGCAAAAATACAAAACGAATTGATTAATTTATGTGGCGAAGTTATTAAGGAGAATATGATAAGTGAGGTTCAGAAGACCATGGCTTACGCAGTCTTAGCTGATGAAACAGCAGACGTAGCTGGAAAAGAACAGCTATCAATAGGCGTGCGGTTCTACGACGAAAGCAAAAGGAAAATCAGAGAAGAATTTGTAGGATTCGTTGAACTAAAAGCACAAAATGCTTCAGCAATTGCCGAAGCAATTGACAATTTCTTGATTAGTTCTAACCTCCCAACAGAAGATTGCGTAGGGTTTGGATTCGATGGCTGTTCTACAATGGCAGGGAAAGAGGGTGGCGTACAAGCCATTTTGAGAAAAAAATATCCTCGTGCTTTATATTTTCATTGCTCAAGTCACAAACTCAACCTTGTTGTGAATGATGCGAACGCAGTGCCAGAAATTAGAAATACTGTCGCCACTGTTAAGGATGTTATAACGTTTTTCAGAGAATCGACTACTCGTCGAAACTACGCTCCAAACCTATCACGATTGTGTGAGACGAGATGGTCCGAAAAATATAAATCAATCAGAAAGTTTTCTCAACATTTTCCAGAGCTTGTGAAATCTCTAGAAACTTTATCCGTAGAGGGAAATTATGCCACCAGTAAATCTGCATATCAGTTGCATTCAGCCGTTACAAAATCAGTGTTTATTGTTGCTCTACAAACAATAGCCAAATATTCAGCAGTTTTAGAACCAGTAGTTAACGCACTGCAAGCTAAATCGATCGACATGATCTCGGTGGGGGAACACATCAAAAATATCAAGGACATTCTCAGAAATGACCGCGAGTTTCCTGTTAAAATAAGTAATGAAATGCTTCAAAAAGCGCAAGCTGTTGCAATGGATTTGAACATAGAAATTTCGGTTCCACGTCTTGCTCATAAGCAAACACATAGAAGTAATCCGCCATCTGACAATGATAACGAATATTGGCGGCGTTCTCTGATAATACCATACATTGATTCACTCATTTCATCGTTGAATATTCGATTCTCCCAAAAAAATACTCCGGCGTTTGCTTTAAGTAAGCTACATCCCTTGTATATGACCAAAACCAGCATTACAGACTTACACAAGAACTGAACCTTTGGCATAATTTATGGATGAAGAATGCTTTATCAGATGATCAATTAAGGAATATAGAAGTAGTGATCTGTTCAACGAAGCCAATATTTTTTACCCTGCTGTCAGAAAGGCATTGATTATTTTAAGTACTATCCCATGCACCACGGCGAAAGTAGAACGGTCCTTCAGTACGCTTCGAAGAGTTAAAACGTGGCTTAGAAGCACCATGGGTGAAGAAAGGCTTACGGGTTTATGTCTGATGAGCGTACATCGCAATTATTTAAAAGAAAACAGTGATAATTTTTATTATTTTAAAGCATGTAACTGCTTGATGTTTAAATCTAAAGAAAATATAACTAGAAAAAAATCCACGCGGACCAGGCAGCAGACGGGACTCGAACCCGCACCCTTCGCAATCCGGGCGAATGCACTAACCAATTATGCTACCGCAGCCCTCACGGACCGCGTCGAAATTCTTCTAGCCATTCTTAATCTGCAAGGCAGCGCCATCTCTTCGCATTATAGGTAACCCACAATGTCAAATGAATACTTTTACAAGTATTAAACATTTGAAAGAAGAAATAGCAATTATAGTTATAATTTTTATTATTTTAAAGCATGTAACTGCTTGATGTTTAAATCTAAAGAAAATATAACTAGAAAAAATTCCACGCGGACCAGGCAGCAGACGGGACTCGAACCCGCACCCTTCGCAATCCGGGCGAATGCACTGACCAATTATGCTACCGCAGCCCTCACGGACCGCGTCGAAATTCTTCTAGCCATTCTTAATCTGCAAGGCAGCGCCATCTCTTCGCATTTCGTTTCGTTTCGTTTAATACTTGTAAAAGTATTCATTTGACATTGTGGGTTACCTATAATGCGAAGAGATGGCGCTGCCTTGCAGATTAAGAATGGCTAGAAGAATTTCGACGCGGTCCGTGAGGGCTGCGGTAGCATAATTGGTCAGTGCATTCGCCCGGATTGCGAAGGGTGCGGGTTCGAGTCCCGTCTGCTGCCTGGTCCGCGTGGATTTTTTTCTAGTTATATTTTCTTTAGATTTAAACATCAAGCAGTTACATGCTTTAAAATAATAAAAATTAAAACTATAATTGCTATTTCTTCTTTCAAATGTTTAATACTTGTAAAAGTATTCATTTGACATTGTGGGTTACCTATAATGCGAAGAGATGGCGCTGCCTTGCAGATTAAGACTGGCTAGAAGAATTTCGACGCGGTCCGTGAGGGCTGCGGTAGCATAATTGGTCAGTGCATTCGCCCGGATTGCGAAGGGTGCGGGTTTGAGTCCCGTCTGCTGCCTGGTCCGCGTGGATTTTTTTCTAGTTATATTTTCTTTAGATTTAAACATCAAGCAGTTACATGTTTTAAAATAATAAAAATTATAACTATCATTGCTATTTCTTCTTTCAAATGTTTAATACTTGTAAAAGTATTCATTTGACATTGTGGGTTACCTATAATGCGAAGAGATGGCGCTGCCTTGCAGATTAAGACTGGCTAGAAGAATTTCGACGCGGTCCGTGAGGGCTGCGGTAGCATAATTGGTCAGTGCATTCGCCCGGATTGCGAAGGGTGCGGGTTCGAGTCCCGTCTGCTGCCTGGTCCGCGTGGATTTTTTTCTAGTTATATTTTCTTTAGATTTAAACATCAAGCAGTTACATGCTATAAAATAATAAAAATTATAACTATAATTGCTATTTCTTCTTTCAAATGTTTAATACTTGTAAAAGTATTCATTTGACATTGTGGGTTACCTATAATGCGAAGAGATAGCGCTGCCTTGCAGATTAAGAATGGCTAGAAGAATTTCAACGCGGTCCGTGAGGGCTGCGGTAGCATAATTGGTCAGTGCATTCGCCCGGATTGCGAAGGGTGGGGGTTCGAGTCCCGTCTGCTGCCTGGTCCGCGTGGATTTTTTTCTAGTTATATTTTCTTAAGAAAACAGTGAGTTTATTCAAAAGACTGTCTTAGACAAATTTTCGGTGGCAAATCCGAGAAGATTACTTTTAAATTAATATATGCGTATTATGATTATTATATATATTTAATATTTTGTTTTGTGTCATAATCAAACTAATTAATAAAAGTCAATTTTCGTGATTTTTTGTTTGAATATACCCGACCAACCATCTTCTCGAAACAGGTATGAGCTGCCCCCTCCTATCTGAAATCCTGGGTACGCCCTTGCTACCGCGGCACTATTTGTCCGAGTAGATTTTTCCCTAGTATTTCTAGGGCTGCAAGTCAGCGCCATTTCTTCGCATTCGTTAATATTAACCACGGTTTTGAACATACTTCAATCAAATTCTGACATAGCAACAGCAACGTCAGCAATCATAGAATTTGCAATATTTGCTTTTTATGGCAGTCGTGTTTTTAATTTATTTCCTTAAATTTATTTTGATTTATTAAGTAACTCGATATTTTTCTTTCTTGATTCTTCCCATCATTACACAAATTATATTTTAGTGTAATATCGGACCTAATCGACCCTACATTTTCGATTGTTAATTTTTCACGTTTTATTTGAAAATCTATGAGCGAGGCCTATAAATAGACAAGTAATTCATGAAGATTTAAAACTTAAAGATAATAGAGCTTTATTGCCATCTAGAGGTTTCGGGTCGACAGGGCCTGGCCATGCACGATGAAACTTAATGGGAGCATTTTTTGACTGCCACCGCACCAGAAAATAGTCTTGGTTTATTGACGCGGCAAAAGTGTTAAATACGCGAGTAATCATTCAATAGATTTATCTAAAACAGATACAGAATTACGGATACCTTCATTAGAAATAGGTTTCTGGTAGTTTATTCCTTCAGGAGCATCAATAACTTCACACATTGCTATACAAGATAGATGCCCACCAATACAACTAGCGCCCCAACCGAAACCTCCATGACTGTACGGTAAACTTGTATTGAGATCTGTTGACAAATATACTCCATTTCCCATCAATGTATTCTGAAAAAGAGCAATATTTATAATGAGTATCTCTGCTCCATAAAAACGAGGATTTTGAAGTGAATGTCTTGAAATACCTTATTCATCTGTTGTTGAAGTCCGAAATTCATAATAGTATAAAAGTTTTCTAAACGATTTCCGTGAAATGCATAAAATGTATTATGATTTCTAGCCAATTCCTTCCATTTTGCTTCTGCTGCTGACTTGTTTGAGTAGCAAACTTGGAAAACATACTGTGGTTTTGGTGTATTTTGGGCACTGGCGTTTGCATAGGACAAAATAGATTCATGCTGCAAAAAAAAGGTTATGGTTTAACGTAGAGCCGTAACGTATTATTATGCTCTAACCCCCTTATTAATAAATGAAGATTAAGCTTTGATTAGTTACTCCATGTCTCTGTTCATTGAATGACAAATAGCATTTGAGTGATATGAACTTAACACGGCGTAACTAGTCAAAGGTTAATAAGGGGGTAAGGGTGCAATGCAATTTAAGTGTTTTATATTGCCTTATTTTTTTCATTCATCATTATCTCGAAAAAGCGCAATAGACGCGTGTGTGGAATTTTACTTCCAACCCTAAATTATTAATACAAAAAAAAAACACTTTATTAAAAAGAGATATCGCAGCGGGGAGGAAATTCATCCATTTGGAATCGAACCTGAGGAGCCCGCATAACAGGCTAACTTTCTACTGAAACACTGATTCTTGTTGATGATGATTTTAGTAACAATTAAATTGTAATGCGACGTGCTTCGTGAAGACTCTTTCGTTGTTTTCTATGTCAGTGTCATCATCACTACATAGTATAAAGCTAAGTCGCTTCCCGCTGTCTGTCCCTATGTCCCTATGTATGCTTAGATCTTTAAAACTACGCAACGGATTTTGATGCGGTTTTTTTAATAGATAGAGTGATTCAAGGGAAAGGTTTATATGTATAATATATGCATAATATAGTAGAGAAACACTGATAATTTTAGAGGTTTTTAATGTAAGGTCTATAATACAAGCCTGAGAACAAAAACTATAGCTCATCAGCTCTACACCGAAGCGAAGCGATGGCGGGCCACTAGTATTTTATAAATTTATATAATTTCGTACTTTGATTTTCTGTTTGTGTTTACTTGTCACTTATTTCTCTTGTAAATATAAATGATAATGCTAGATCAAGATATTTTACTAAACCTACACAAACCAGCCTCTACCAACCATAACATCGTGGTCCTTCGTTTAATGACAGAGTTTTGAGGTACAAAATATCAGCAAAATATTTACAAGATCTAAAGTTCGTAGCGAGAGTCAGCTCGCAGCAGAGTCACAAGGGACAATAAGAAAAAACACATTCTCATACGATTTCTTATTTATTACAAAAATAACTTAAACCTTAAACTATTAATAAACAAAAAGGCACCAGAGCGATCAACTGAATAACGTTATTTTGGAGAAGTAGTAATATCAATGGTAAGGACACAAATACTAACTACTTACGTTGTTGCAGAAAGTCATCAGTTAAGCACGAACTGAGGAGGCAGACCATAAAAGAAGAATACCCGAAAGAAAGGAAAGGCTTTTGTACCTAACTATTTCGAAGGCCTTGACGATGTCAATGACTCGCCCGCTCGCCTCGACATAAATAATATCGTATCATTTATCAAAATCCGTTTTTGTCTTACAGCATATATCATATGTTCTAAGGTGGTATATGCTCTAAGGTTTTAGTTGAACCGTTTCATAGTAACGGACATATATGAGGCATGGACCATCAGACCTGTCAAGCACATAAGCCTACTTTAACGACTTTGCCGCAATCGAGATACTATAAATATTTAATAACATACCACTTCTTGAGGAATAGTCTTCAGAGTTGGTTCTTTTAGTCGAACCAGAACATAGAAAAGCAAATCAATAATTCCACTGATAATGCTTAAATTGTCCAGATTGTCTAGCTGTTGTAAGACTAAATCCAAAGCTGGTATATCAGTGATCACACTTAGCTGAAAATATGTAATTACCGTTATTAAATTTTCTAAAAATTCCTATTAGACTCGATTCGATAGTTAAGAGGCCCTTAATGGATATTATTAATTAACAGCACTTTTTAATAAAGATTAATAAGTACTAAGGTACGGTCGGCGAGGAGAAAGAATTTCGTACAATGACCCCACGCTACCCATTGTTATCGCTTGCGAGCAGTTATGTTGCTGTCTCGCTCGCACACGTACCGTGTGTAGTTGCATACAGCAAGCGTGACAGCAACATTATTGCGCGCGAGAGATAAGGATGGGTAGTGTGGGGTCATTGTACGAAATTCTTTCTTCTCGCCGACCGTACTATAACGGATATGGCCGTACTCAAGACACGTGAAGGTGTGTTCAGACTACACTATAATAAATAGCTTTATAGTCCATAGCTCAATATCGCGCACCATACATTTACGATTTAGAACACATTCGTCAGAATAAATTAATCTAATGATAATGTAGTTTTTTTTTACGTTGGATTTATGTGCTCGATTTATAAATTTAAAGAAATTTGAGGAATAACGATGTTTACGTGTTTAAGGTTTGTTTAAAATTTAACGTTCTCAATGTAGTTTTACATTATTAAAAACATTATATTGAAATAAAAGTTCATAATTTTTATTATTTTTAAAGCATGTAACTGCTTGATGTTTAAATCTAAAGAAAATATAACTAGTAAAAATTCCACGCGGACCAGGCAGCAGACGGGACTCGAACCCGCACCCTTCGCAATCCGGGCGAATGCACTGACCAATTATGCTACCGCGGCCCTCACGGACCGCGTCGAAATTCTTTCTAGCTATTCTTAAGCTGCAAGGCAGCGCCATCTCTTCGCATTATAGGTAACCCCACAATGTCAAATGAATACTTTTACAAGTATTAAACATTTGAAAGAAGAAATAGCAATTATAGTTATAATTTTTATTATTTTTAAAGCATGTAACTGCTTGATGTTTAAATCTAAAGAAAATATAACTAGAAAAAATTCCACGCGGACCAGGCAGCAGACGGGACTCGAACCCGCACCCTTCGCAATCCGGGCGAATGCACTGACCAATTATGCTACCGCGGCCCTCACGGACCGCGTCGAAATTCTTTCTAGCTATTCTTAAGCTGCAAGGCAGCGCCATCTCTTCGCATTATAGGTAACCCCACAATGTCAAATGAATACTTTTACAAGTATTAAACATTTGAAAGAAGAAATAGCAATTATAGTTATAATTTTTATTATTTTTAAAGCATGTAACTGCTTGATGTTTAAATCTAAAGAAAATATAACTAGAAAAAATTCCACGCGGACCAGGCAGCAGACGGGACTCGAACCCGCACCCTTCGCAATCCGGGCGAATGCACTGACCAATTATGCTACCGCGGCCCTCACGGACCGCGTCGAAATTCTTTCTAGCTATTCTTAAGCTGCAAGGCAGCGCCATCTCTTCGCATTATAGGTAACCCCACAATGTCAAATGAATACTTTTACAAGTATTAAACATTTGAAAGAAGAAATAGCAATTATAGTTATAATTTTTATTATTTTTAAAGCATGTAACTGCTTGATGTTTAAATCTAAAGAAAATATAACTAGAAAAAATTCCACGCGGAACAGGCAGCAGACGGGACTCGAACCCGCACCCTTCGCAATCCGGGCGAATGCACTGACCAATTATGCTACCGCGGCCCTCACGGACCGCGTCGAAATTCTTTCTAGCTATTCTTAAGCTGCAAGGCAGCGCCATCTCTTCGCATTATAGGTAACCCCACAATGTCAAATGAATACTTTTACAAGTATTAAACATTTGAAAGAAGAAATAGCAATTATAGTTATAATTTTTATTATTTTTAAAGCATGTAACTGCTTGATGTTTAAATCTAAAGAAAATATAACTAGAAAAAATTCCACGCGGACCAGGCAGCAGACGGGACTCGAACCCGCACCCTTCGCAATCCGGGCGAATGCACTGACCAATTATGCTACCGCGGCCCTCACGGACCGCGTCGAAATTCTTTCTAGCTATTCTTAAGCTGCAAGGCAGCGCCATCTCTTCGCATTATAGGTAACCCCACAATGTCAAATGAATACTTTTACAAGTATTAAACATTTGAAAGAAGAAATAGCAATTATAGTTATAATTTTTATTATTTTTAAAGCATGTAACTGCTTGATGTTTAAATCTAAAGAAAATATAACTAGAAAAATAATAAAAATTATAACTATAATTGCTATTTCTTCTTTCAAATGTTTAATACTTGTAAAAGTATTCATTTGACATTGTGGGGTTACCTATAATGCGAAGAGATGGCGCTGCCTTGCAGCTTAAGAATAGCTAGAAAGAATTTCGACGCGGTCCGTGAGGGCCGCGGTAGCATAATTGGTCAGTGCATTCGCCCGGATTGCTAAGGGTGCGGGTTCGAGTCCCGTCTGCTGCCTGGTCCGCGTGGAATTTTTTCTAGTTATATTTTCTTTAGATAAAAGTTCATTTTCTACAGTTCAAAGGAACAACCAAGATTACACATAAAATAAGCGCAATTTTCGTAGTTGCTGCCAAGTTGTTGCAGACAGTTTGTGGTCAGCAATGTTTAATAATAATCATATTAAATGTATTTAACATTCCTTAATGTTAAATACATTTAATAGTGTTTCCGCTTTTGTCAGAAAAAACAGCCTTTATTTTATTCTGACGTAAGCGGAATTTGACGAATGTGTCCTAAATCACATTTGCATAGGGAACACGTTTTATGATAGAACATGTTCCATGATAGATTACGTTCACGCCACGCTATACTGTACACTGTACATGAGCAATATACTGCAGTATAGGCTTGCTATAACTTCTAAGTTTAACTAAAATTTATGCTGTCAATTTCTTTGCGATGACAATAAAATAAGACAACACGACTTATTGAAGCATTAAATGAACTTGACGTTTCTGAGTACGACAATAAGTACATTACAACAGACAAATAAACTTGCGTAGTTGCCGGTTTTGTGTGTAAAATTGCTACTGCGCGCACAGACTTTCTTCTCTTCTTCTTCGTTGCTCAAGAAATTTGCCGGAGCGAATAGAAATTAATGATCTCTTAAATAAATTTTGTGTAAAAACTACAAATATTAGGTTTTTGAAAACCTTACTAATTCATCCATGTCCTTGATACCATTCTTTATGAAGGCGGGTGGAAAAGGTCGAAGACAACTTTCGTACCGAAAGCTAAAAGCTGCTGACACGAATAAACTCCATTTGATATCCGCAGCTTTAAAATCCTTTTCCAAAACCAACCTAAAACATTGACAACAATGCTAGCGGAACGTTGCGGTCACAGTATATCTTATATGATAGGCATGTGTTGAGGTTGCGAGGACATTTTAATATACTTTCACCAATCACGTAGGTATCTACCTAATTCAGCACTTTACGAGTCAAAATTTTTTTTAGTGTATCAAAAATCAGAAGGTAAATTGCTTTAAACCCCGGCCAGACTGTTGTAAACAAGCCCGCCACGTCAGTCTCGCTCCAGCGACGGTATACAAAAGTGAAACAAATGCTTGTTTGCAACAAAAATTCGTTTGACCTTCAACAACCTCTGAGGACGGACGCACGTTGTAAACAGTGTGTGGACGCCGCCGTTGTAAACACGTATTCCACAATGTAAAGACTTGTTGTAAACCACACAAAGGCAGTTGCGCAGGGCCGCAGCGGCAACTGTTGCGTGCGCACATATGCACTACGTGGAAAATTGCAGCTACGTGGGAAAAAGAAGTTATCAGCGAATTCATTCATTGAACTCTATAGGGCCTGCCCTGTCTTTGGGAACTATCTTCCGAAACATATAAGTTACGGGCCATAAAAAGTTGGGCAACTGAAAAATTGAAGGAAATTGACCCTGCTGTAAATGAAATAACGGCGAAGCAAAAAGTGGATTTTCAGGAACAAGTTTCAGGAATTATTTCCGACCGAAGTTCATGTGATATCATAGAGCTGTATCTCGGATCTCTATAACATGTTCCAGAGGCTAGGTATCGGATGGTCACTAATAGTCGTTCTTCGTCAGAAACAGCCTGCCTCAGAAGCGTATTTTTTTTCGTAAGGAATGGCCTCACCATTTCAAATAAGTCATAGAATGTCTCCTTTACCATTCTCAGAAAATTGCGCAGGTCTTCAAAATCAAACAGATTCAATTCAGCCAACGCTTCACCCATATTCCTTTATTTTTTCTCCTCACATACGCACACAAGTGCTAATGCCACGCCAACTTTTTGCAGTTTCTACAGGTAAGGAGCCATGTCGCAAAGCGTGCTTTCAAACAAAGGGTCGAATACACACTGAGGTGGGAAGCTTGTTGTAAACCTGTGTGGTAAAAAATGAAAATTAATTACTCTCTGGCAATTTGATAGCTGATTCATTATCGACGTACAGAATCGGTTGTGCTGTAGGTTTTTCGATATTTTCTATGAATCTTTTAAGCCAAATTATTTGACGAGCAGCTTCGCATGCCGCAATCAGTTCTGCCTCATTACTCGATATGTTTGCAATTGACTTCGACAAGATATGGGCCCTCCATACATACATAGTAATCCAGAAGTGGATCTTCCAGACTCGTTGACTCCGCCGTGATCGGCGTCACTATAACAACGCAGTACTTTTCTGCTCCTTTCCGGTAAACCAAACTAAAGTCGAGTGTTCCATTTTAATATCTAAATATGCGTTTGACCTTCATCACATCAAGTTTTGTAGGTATTTCCAAGTATCTAGATAGCCTAGCCTCTGGAATATATTATTCATTCCTTCACTGACCCGTAGTATCTTTTAGATACCAAATTCTTTATAATACAAAAAATCTAACGGGGTAAGATCCGTTGATCTTGCCGGCCATTTCATGTTCCCGATGGTACCTATCCAACTTTGAAAAAAAATTAAATGTGGTAAGTTTAAACTCTACTATTACGAGCTGGAGCACCTAATGTGTAGTTCTTCTTCGGAAAAAGCATTTGTCAAATTAATCTGTTATAGCCAGAAGAAGAAAATATGTTTTGTGGCCTTTATTTAATTTTAAGATATCGAAACATATTTACTATTAGCTTAAAAGAAATTCATCCTTATGAATGACTCGTAAAATATAAGGGTTATTTTTTTTTCGAATTTCACCGGTTTGAATCCTGGCTCTAGCAGGTGATTTTTTAAATAATCTTTAAATGCAGTTTTAATTATTTTTCTAAATACAGGTTTAAAATAAATAAAATGTTTTCGATCATTGAAATTTGCAATCAATAATATTATGGGAACTTTTTCTGCAAACACAGTCCTTTTTTCCAGCCAATATACAAATATTGGTACGGTTAACTTTTACTAGGCCTTACGCCTATTGGTTAACATTCACTTATGCCTTATAAAAAATAACCGGCCAAATGCTTTTCGGACTTGGCACATTTACAGTTTCGAACCAAACGTAGAAATTTCTTAAAAATCAGATATATCGATATAATAGTATTGATATGTACCAACTAGCTATTCGTCACACGTAGCTTCGCTCGCGTTAGACACACACTGGACCCTCGTGGTGGGACATGGCCCAATCTCCCTATTACAACCATATGGTAGGCCTGTGCCCCAGTAGTGGAGACATAAAATTAATAAAAGGCTGATGATGATGTTTAACAGAAGATTTTTACTCACCTCAGATGAACTGCTTTTTTTTCTAATGAATCCAGTTTGGCTTGATTGATGTCTGACAATGTTTCAGAGCCACATCCTAGGTTGCAGTTTGTAGCTGTATCAAATAATGCTTCCGGCTCACCATCCATATTAATTTAAGAAACTTCTTTGAATTTACCACAAAATAAATTTTGAAAATGGTAATAGATAATAACTAAATATGAATTTGTGATGAAAATGATTTGTAAACAATTTATTATTTTATTACGTAAGTCAACATCATATACCAAAAGTATTAATAAAAAACAAATGGGTGTATTTTTGTTTTGTACATCCAAAGAGAATGTATAGTTTGAAAGATTTTTATGATGGCCCAATGGCTCAATCTCTCCTCAATCTTTGATTGTTTACTCTCTTTACTTCATTCCTGATAACGTTAAAAAGAAGTCGAAATGGTTCTTTTAAAGTTAACGGTGCACATTTTTATCTCATAGTGGTAATAAATGTTTTATTACGCTTTTGTTAATGTATGTGTATATGTGTGTAAAATGTACAAGCACAACCATCTAAACAATTCATCATCATCATCATAATGAGCCGATGGACGTCCACTGCTGGACATAGGCTTCCTCTAGGGATCTCCAAACACAACGATCCTGAGCTTTCCGCATCCAGTGGGTCCCCCCGACTCGCTCGATGTCGTTAGTTCACCTGGAAAGGGGTCTACCGACACTGCGCTTCCCAGTGCGAGGTCGCCATTGAAACACCTCAGGTCCATCGGTTCGCCGAACATTGTGCCCCGTCCATTGCCACTTAAGCATTGAGATCCGTTTAGCTATGTCGGTACTCGAGTTCTTCTACGGAATTCCTCATTTCTGATTCAATCACGTAGAGCCCAGCATGGCTCTCTCCATCGCTCGCTATGCGACTCAGAGCCTACTTATGAGGCCCATTGTCAACGACCACGATCTCAGCTCCGTATGTCCTCACTGGTAACACGCACTGTTCGAAGACCTTGGTCTTCAGGCACTGAGGTACTTTGGATGAGAAAAAATCGCGAAGTTTCCTGAACGCTGCCCAGCCGAGTTGGATTCGGCGGTTTTGTCGCGACGGCAACACCAGTCGCGATGTTTGAGGTGGCAACACATATCAATTGCCGCTATAATTCTAATGTCAATGTCAAGTAAGCCGTCTTTTTTTCTCTTCTTGTTTGTTGTGCTATTTTATCTAACATACAGTGATTACCTTGTACCAGTATTTAACTTGACACGTGCCTATTTACGAGCTCGAGAACCAACGGAACATTACGAAAGCTAAGTAGTAAAACAGTTCACATAAATGATAGCCTGTTTGCATCTCATGAAAAGTTTGTATGTATGAAAATAACCGCTTACCGGCACTTGATATTAACCTATGTACCTGGGTATACCAGCACAGGAACTAGATACTGTCTCACACGCCGAAAGGGCCGGCGGCATAAGGGCGTTAAACGCCTGTGGCATTGACATAATTATAACAATATGAGGGCTTGTGCCACAGTAACTAGATACTCTCTCACACGGCGGAAGGGCCGGCGGAGTAAGGGCGTTAAACGCCTGTGGCATTGACATAATTATAACAATATGAGGGCTTGTGCTTCTGCAGGAGGCAAGTCCTAGGGTACCCTACCGAAAGACCACAAGAGAGAGTTATGGCATGCGCTATGTCTGGACGGAGCTGGAATAGTGGCTGAGCCAGATTGAAGACGTTCCATAGAAGTGCCATGTAAGTGGGCGACGCGGCTCGTGCATGTGGGCGCACGCATGCACGGGTTGCGTGGGGAGCAGGCGACGCGACGGTCTTGGCTCTCATGCCCTCACACCCCTCAGCAGAAGCGTAGGATATACATGGCAGAAAGTCATGTTAGGAAATCTCCGCATCGTTTAGACAGCTGACGTAGATACTTGAGTTAACATGGGTAATTGGCCTACAGATACTCTCATACTTATTTATGAAAATATTTATGTGTTCTAAGAATGCTGGAATCATACCGTTGTGAGGGTGTGACTCCGGGACTTAGTGGCACCACGCAGTGGTGTCATAACTTTATTTATACTTACAGATGGAGTAAGAAAGTGATGAGAGGCATGGACGGTCATTCGCTGGTGATTGAAGGTACATACAATATAATCTGTGGTAAGTAACCACCCTTTGTCACGTGTCTTTCGTCTACAATCTGGCGATCCGCGATGGATACGTTTGTATCACGGATATGGGTTGCATGTAGCAGCCCCGCCCCCAAGAGGGTCGCGACAGGTTTACCTCTTCCTCGAAATCGGACTTACCCAAGTTGACTACTTGTTCTAGATATATTTGTCGACAATTTCGAGTGCAGAGTTCTTAATGATTACCGGGTGGAGCGGAACATGAGCGAAACATAATTATGGTCTTTCTAATGTTCATTTTAAGGCCCACCTGTTGAGAGGCTCGGCTGAGGTCATTGAGCATTATATTGAGATCCTCCAAAGTGTATGCTATAACGAGTATATCATCGGAATATCGAAGGTGGGTAATGTACTCGCGGTTGATGTTGATGCCAAGTCCGCTCCAACCCAGAAGACGTCTTCCAACGCAGCGTAGCTGTAGCATTGGGGAGATAACATCTCCTTGTCGCACTCATCGCTGTAGCTGGATAGGTCTCGTAGTGTGGTCTTATATGCGGACTGTCATGGTGGCGCTTCCGTACAAACTCTTCAGCACTTCGATGTAGCGAAAGACAATACGGCACCTCTGCAAAGATCTCAACACAGCCCATATACAAATAAATACTTATTATTATTAATTGTTATCTCCAAAGGCTTTCTGATAGTCGACAAACTCTAAACATAGCGGTAAAGCGTTGTTGGGGATAGATAGGTAATAGTTCGCTTGTACTTATCTGCGGTGCAGTCGGTGTAAACAATGAGTCCAGCATTCAATAGTAAACAGTTTATTTGCACAAGCACAGAATAGAATGAGTACAGAGCACAGTCAGTGATTCACAAGCACAGAGGAAGAAAGGAAAAGCGCAGTCAAAGCAAACGTAAACAATAACAATAATACGGTTATGAGTTAGCAAGCGCGGAGCAATTGATCGTGCGTACGGTACAGAGTATAGGTTCCGACTGTCGCGCAACGTGACCTCTGCACGTGAGCCGGCAGGTTTGCCGAACAATAGGCGGTGAAGTCAGTGCGCGTGTCCATTCGCCACACGACTGTTAAAGATCAGCTGATGCACGGCACGATATAGTGTAATTGTTTTGTGAATAAATGTATGTGCTTGTGATGACAGTATATGAATGTAAATAATAATTATTGTTATATATTAAATGTAAATAATGTGTAAATAATAAATGTTATTTTGTATAAATGTAAATATATTTGGTTTTTATATTTAATGTTTTATATTTATTTATAGTAATAAATTGCAAATACAACTTATATAATATTTTATGTATTTCCAAATACTTATATAACATGTATAAATAAGATTGTGGGAGAACCCCACAGTGGTATGAGTGGTAGATTATAATCCTCGATCTTCTGTATAACCTGCAGCAGTGCGTGGACGTGGTCCATGGTGCTGAAACCTTTACCGAATCTGGCTTATTCAGGAGACTGGAAATCGTCAAACCTATTAGCGAGATCCTTGGTAATGACTCTCAAAAACAACTTATAGACCTGGCTGTGCAGCGAGATGGGTCTGTAGTTTTTCAATAGGGTGTTATCACCTTTTTTGAAAAAAAGTACCACTCATGTACCCTGCCTCTGGCGTTATGCCTTCGTGGATATCGGAATAGAGTAATCGCTTAAACCGTCTGCTGCCGCTGACGTCCGGGATATTTTCGGTTAATTTGGCTCTGGGATCTTTAGCCAAATTAGCAACAGGCCTCTGTGTTGAGGTGTACAACTGTCCATAGAGGTTCTCGAATTTCCTCAAAATCTCAGGCTTTGAAGTGATGAGACTACCGTTTTCGGTCTTCAGCCGCGTCATTGACTGACTTTATCCGATAGACAGATCTCTGGCGAACAGGGTCATGTGACTGTTATTTGGAGATCTGCCTATAAATTAGCCGGTAAGCTGCCACATCCGTTGAAGACTTGAGTCTCATATTTTGCCTTTCTCTCCTAAGTCCGAGAGTATGGTCAGAGAACCTTTTGTGTCCATTAATTCTATGGGTCTTATAGAACGTAAACCCCACTTCGTGGACAGTTTCCACCAACCTGTTGGTATCGTCCACAGATACGCAATCTTCCAGACAGGGCAAAGCGATTCTGTAGTTCGAGCTGGAAACCTTCAGGGTTTTGGTTATGTGCGCGAGAGGGTCGGAGTCTTTTTAGTATATCTATTGATTATTGATCTGTGTCTATGGCTACGTTAGTCTATGGATATGTCTCGGAATAGCAGAATGGAACAGGGCCGTTGAGTTGGGCTTAGCGCCGAATGTGATTATTAATAAATTAAGAGATTGTAGCTTAAATGTTAGTATTTAACCATTTTGAAATTAGTCTGGAAGTTTTAATTAGAGACATAAAAGTGGCGACGAGGATGGCGGCTCACGTGGGTAATATAGAGCATTTTGATGTATTAAGTGGCGATTTCTCCATGTGGTTAGAGAGGTTTGAGCAATACATGATAGTAAATGATGTAGCTGGAGAAAAGAAGGTACCATTAACCTTTATTGGCCCGGAGGGTTATAAAGTTATAACAAATTTAGTTAGCCCAAAGAAGCCATCAGAACTTCAAATTCAAGAATTAATTACATTGTTGAAACAGTATTTTACGCCAAGAACTAATATAATTGCACAAAGATTTAAGTTTTATAAAACTGATGAAAGAAAGAAGCTGGAGAAAGTATAAAAAATTATGTGATCAAATTAAAAGAAATGGCAAGCACCTGTGGTTTCCAAGGTGAAACACTTAAAGAAGCATTAACAGATAGATTAGTCTGTGGATTAAATGATGAAAACTTACAAAGAAAAATATTATCTGAATCAGAACTCTTATCATTTGATGCAGTGTATGAAAGAGCATATATAACATTGGAGACAACATGTAGAGATATGCAAGTGTTTGTTCCAAATGTTCACAAGGTTTCTAAAGAAAATAATAAAGAAAAATTATGACTTGTGGTAGGTGTGGAGGTTGGCACAATTACAATAATTGCAGAGCAAAGTCGTGAAAATGCTTTAAGTGCAATAAAATGGGCCATTCCAGTAAAATGTGCCGTTGTAAAACTTCAACTGTGAAAACTTTAGAGGAAGAAGATAATCAGGAGATTATAATAAACAGACTGGGCAATGCAGCT